ACCGTTTCCAGTGTGTTGCTGAGCTTATCTTCTGGGATGGTCTGAGTGAATCTCGTTGGACTGGGAAGATTTATCTTTGCGCATAGACTGGTACTGAGTTACTGGCACTGGAAGACTGTACCATATCATGCTCTCTAGTTCAGGTTTCTTGGCAGAGTCAGTAGTGCTTGGTAAACACTGTAAGCTACATGCTCTAGTTAACTCACATGGTACTGATAACAGCACTGATAGGTAATGTATTCAGCAAACAGTGGTTTCCCTGCTTATTTAACTCCAGCGCAGTCAGCAGTTATTCCCAGGAGTTCGGGTTCAGGCTCTGATTTTTTTTGAAGCTGTAGCCTCCATGGGTGCCCAGTGAGATCTCCATCCAAAGGAGCTAGCAGAAAGAGCTCCTACCTTTACAAACTCTGTCTGCTTGCAACAGCCTCATTTAGAAACAAACACAAAGAGCTTTGTTTCTTTGTATTAACTCAGTGCCAGAAACAGTTCTCAAGTAATACTTAAGGGTTGATACTAGTCTCTGAAGGCAAAAGAAATCAAAGATTTAGTTAACATACTTTGTCCTTTCCCTGAATCTTGTTAGTACACTCGAGGATTACCTAACGCATTAGCTGAATCTTCAGACAAGAATGCCAAACAACATTTTAGACAAAACAAACCACAACCTCTCTAATATTCAGAGTTTCAGGTAGCACTTCCACTTAATAACACTTCTTGTGCCTCAAGTCATATGTATTTCTTTCAACCTATTTGTGAGCCATCTCTTTCTGGGTTTCAAATAGTGATTTCTGTCTCCTCTCTCATCATATTGCAGCCCTAGAGCAAAGCTTTACCTTTGCATTTGAAACTTCTAAAAAAAACAGAATGTTTTTTGTTGTTGAGTGGGAATAAGATAACATTACTGTAAATGCACCAAGGATTTTGCTTTCTCTCAAGACAGCTGAACCTAGCCATAACATTTAACAGGGGGATCATTTGGTACAGAGGATAGAGCACTTGACTTGGGGCCAGAAGAGCTGACTCCTAGTTCTAGTCTGCCGCTTACATGTTGGATGCCATCACAAGTTGCATCAGATGGCAGATTGCACTTGTCTTTATTTTTGTTTGTTTGGATTAGGAGTATGGGGGAGAGACAGGAACTCTTGCAAACATTACATTTGTGCATTAATTATAGCATTGTCCTGTATTGTCCCAACACAGGGTACAGACCCAAATTCAGAGCCATTTTGTATATTGATGGAAATTCACCGCAATCTTTATGGTAGCAGACTCTGCTTTGAAAATATTCTGAATTATATGCCTGACTCCAGGTGTGTTCCGAAGTCTTTAAATATTCAGGCTGTCCTGGCTGCAGGCAGTGTTCAGGTGATTGTATGAAACTCTTCAGAAAGAAAAAGAGAACATACAAAATGTTTATTTTTCCATTTGCAACGTATGTTTTTTTCATATGCAATTTATAATCTAAAATATTTCATACACAGAAAGAGGATTATTTGGATTGTCTTTTTGATATTACGTAAGTATTATATAGAGGGGGAAAACTGGGTTCATGAACTGAACTCAGTGCTGAAGAATCAATAGATAATGAAAGCAATTACAGTAAATGTAATTCCCATTGAGCATCCAAGTCAGGTCCTAGGTAACCTACTATGCAAAATTTCTTCATCCTTTTCCAAAAGGCAAACTATATGGCTTTTGTTCCGTACAGTAAGCCCTCTTCAGCATGCTATCTAAAAACCTCTCCCTAGGGACAAATCCTTGCCCTATTCAATTCACCGCAGACAGGATTTCAGTCCTTATATTTGGATTCAAAGCAGTGGGGAATTGCATAAAGAAAATGCCAGCATGCAGGGCGTTCTCATTTGTTAAGCCCATTGATCTTTTGTCTTGCAAAACAGCTGTTTCTGGTGATACTGGTCCATCTTCTAATGGCTGTTATTTTTCTGGCTTTTGCAGAATGCTGAGGAGAGCAGTTCTCGTTTCCTCCTGTTGTTTTTGGATGAGGAAAAAAGCTCTGAAATGTGAACTGAAAATTTTTACTCTCTAAAAATAAATATAGATGGTATACTTTTATTTTTTCCGTTAGATACTGAACTCAGCTCATCTTTCAGCAGTCATGAGATTGAGATCTTGACCTTTTCCATATCGGCAATATTGTGTAAAATCTGGAAATAATAATTTTTCTAATTGAAGGTAATTGGTGTTACAAGGGAAATTTTAGAATTAAGGCTTGTTGGAACAAGTCAGATAGGGGTGAATTCTCCTTTCTTGAAAGGCTTCTAATCGAAGTGAAATATTGTGATACTGTTACTGAAGCAGAAATTAGGATCTGATGCAGGAAGTACTGCTTCAGATTCTTCCTTAGGAAGTATTCTCAGTTCTCTGGAAGTTTCTTTTCCAAATAACACAGATATGAGGTGTGCCTTGATCCCCCACTCTTTATCTTGTGGCTACTAATCATTTTGGATTTGTACTCCATAGAGTTGTGCTCCAACATGCTAAATGCTTTTCTAAATAGGTCGTATTTCCATGAACTATCGTCTAGTGTTAATATGTGCTGATTTAAACAACCAAATGGAAATTCCCACTAATTCAATAGTAAAGGGAACTTGTTCTGTTACATACTTCACAAGGAGGACATAAGGAAAATTGCTATGTTTATTAGATGCCACTAACAGCATATACAGTTCAACGTGGTCAATCACTGCTTCCCAGCATACATTAATCTGGAGATTAAGTACTGAAATTCAAGTGCCTAAAACCAAAATTGAAAAGCCAAAGATCTCACTCTGACTGGGCAGATTACAAAGAAAACTGAATAGAAAACACATCAGATTGTAGCTGATGTGAAGAAAGTTGAAAGGTATGATGATGGGACTGTGGAGTGGGTGGTAAAGCAGGCAGTCACTTAAAATACAGAATCTGGAATATTTCTTCAGAAATCTTCCTGTTTTCTGGAGTTCTGTGAAAGACGATATGTATAGAGTTAGTTGTCTGCCAGGTGAGGCTAAGCACTGACTAGAAGGGATTTCTTCCTCCAACCTGTGTATTTTACTCTCAGTAAATTAGATTATATTTAACCACTGTGAGTTTCTAAAGGGCAAAGGAAGGGATTGACTAGGTCTCATTTATGTAAGTATTGCTGTGGTTATTCTGTACTGATCCTGTCCAGGGAGGCGATGAGCCAGAATTCAGTAGTGTACTGTCTGGAGTGCTACTCTCTCATAGTGAGTGATGATGAATTACGGTACCACAAGTAAA